AAGTAATATCTAAGTTTAAATGCGGAGCTGAAGATCATCCACAGACTTCTTGTAAACTCTGTTTTATTTGAAGTCTTTGTTTCAAAAAAAAAACATTGTTTAAGACTTTTAATGCTGGAGAATTAGATTGTTGTCGTTCCAACTTCCCTAGCCCATTAGTTTAGCTCTTGTTTCCACCGTTTTAGTCCCACTGATCCATCATGCTAATGGAAAATTCAAGACTTGCTTTAAACTTGTGTACTCGAAACTCTCTTTCATGTTATGATGGCACGGTTTGATATTATGTGAAATATATCAATTATTAGTTGGTAATGAAGACACCATTTGCTTTTGTTAAAAATAAAACCAATAATATCGATTGCTTCTTTGATGAAAAGTTTTGTCTTGTCTAATCAAAGGAACGTCTTTGGCGTGAGAAAATATGGGCGCTACATATACGTAGAAATTTTATATCCTATCTGTTCCAAAATATATGATATGAAAACTGTACTCTTACCTACAAATATCACTAAAAATATACTAAANTGCTTTTGTTAAAAATAAAACCAATAATATCGATTGCTTCTTTGATGAAAAGTTTTGTCTTGTCTAATCAAAGGAACGTCTTTGGCGTGAGAAAATATGGGCGCTACATATACGTAGAAATTTTATATCCTATCTGTTCCAAAATATATGATATGAAAACTGTACTCTTACCTACAAATATCACTAAAAATATACTAAAAATAATTTAACTTACTATAAAATATACAAGAAAGTATAGTTAATTACATAATGTTTTTAACTAAAGTTAAAAGTTATATAAAAATTGCAAATATCTTATTTTTTGTTTCAAAAAATTAAATGTTTTAATTTTTTCCATATATTAAAAAAATATAAAATTTCCAATTCATCATTTATTATAGATAATAATTTTCTATATCTTTTAACTAATAGAATTTTAAAAACACAATTAATTTTTTTTTAAATTTACAATTATTCATTAAATTATATATGAAAAATATAAAAAATATAACCTTTTGAAACAAATATTTTTTTTTTTTAGAATGTTAATCTTTTTGGAAAAGAAGAAGTATATTTTAAAAATATCTTAACCATGGCCGTTATTGATTTGAGTTGATATGTAGTGTTACTTTTAAGTCCCTACGTATGAAAGAGCTGACCAATCGATAGCTAAACATCAACGTTCCCAAAAAATAACTGCAAGGCGTTTGTTCGAGAAATGATTAAGAAAATAATTAAATAAATTAATAATCGAGCTAAAGACATCAAGTAACGGAGTTACGATTTTCATAAAAAGGAATAAATGTGTTTCAATGTAGTAACGTAAAAACAACTAGTATAACGCCGAGAAAGAAGAATTCAAAGGAACAACTCTCATAGAAGATTTCCTTAAAGAGTTTTTTTCGACAATGGTGGATCATCCAGTTATGGCTTCCTCAACCAAGAAACCTATCTTCATCATAGATCTGTCTGGACAAAACTCAAATCCTGTACCTTCTCTCTCTATCTCTTACAATCTCTGTTGTTACAGTTTAACATATGGTTTTGTCTTCTCTAATTATTGTTGTTGTTGTTGTTACAGATGATTCCTGACTCGTTTGTTTCGAATCACTTGAAGGGTAACATTCAGTCTACGAAACTGAAACTGACTTCAGACGCTTCAGACAAAGCTTGGGAAGTTGAGTTGGACGGTCAGAGATTCTCACACGGTTGGAAACATTTCTCTGATCACCACTGTGTCCGAAACGACGACGTTTTGAGCTTCAGGCACGACGGTGACATGGTTTTCCACGTTACACCTTTCGGACGCAGTTTCTCTCAGCAGATTCAGTATATCTCCTCTACCTCTGAAGCTGAAAATGATCGTTCTGATGATGATGATGAACACAATATCTTTGATGATGATGTTTATGATGATGATGATGATGAAGACGAACATGCCATTGTTGGAGATGATGATGATGGTGATGATGATGATGAGTTGTATCCAAATAAAAAGAGAGCAAGAATAGAAACAGAGTCTTCATCAGAAAACACTTATCTTGTTGCGCACGTCACACCTTCAAACCTACGCCGAAACAATATGGTTAAAATTCTATTCTCATTCTAATATAATTTCTCTCATTTTATTTTTTTGCTACGAAATGTTTATCAAATTTCTATTCTGCAGTATCTTCCGAACAAGTTTGCTAGGTCAAATGGTCTGAACAACAGACAGTGTGAGATCGATCTAAGGAACGAACATGGAAAGTCTTGGACTCTTGATCTTACACACAACAAAACAACTGGTCAAGCATTTGTCCGTAACGGTTGGACTACTTTCTGTATATCAAATGGGATCAAAGCAGAATCCTTTTGTAGATTCAAACTTGTCCAAAACGGAACAAAACCTGTGTTACAGTTGTGTCCCAACACTGAAGGTGGTAGTGAGATTAAATCCAAGGAGAGCTCAGAGCCTGCTTTAATGAATCAGAACAAGATTGTGGCATTAGAATATAAACCTTACATGTTGAGAGGTCGACTTGTAAGTTTCCAACACATTCTGTTTTTAGGTTTTTCTTTCAAGTATTTTTTTTTTTGTTTGTTATTGTCTCAAATGGGTTGAGTTTGTTGAAGCTTATTCCTGCATCATTTGGAAGAGCTAATGGGATTAAGGAAGCGGGAGAGATAACTATAGTGAATAAAGATGGCGTGGAGTGGAAGTTACATCTAGGTCACATGAAGAGAGATGAAACATTTTACATTACAGGTTTAAAAGAATGCTTTGTAGCCAATGAGATAAAGAAAGTTGGTGATGGCTTCACACTAGAGGCTATCAGAGGAGGAACTAATCCTATTCTCAAGATCTGCTCCAAGGTTAATACCAATTAATTTTCTTGTTTTTTTTTTTGGAGAAATCTTTATGCTAAAAAAGGAATTGTGTTACAAATCTAGGAAGCATCATTTGATAGCTATAAGACTCCACAGCCAAGGATGATTCAAGCATCACGAGATAAGGAAACTAGAGTACAAAAGAAAGCTCGAGTTTCTGCAGAAGCAGGACCATCTCGCCGAACTAGGGCATTAAACAAATCAAGTGCTGGTCCAGCAAACTTGAAGGGCAAGCAACCTCTTCAACCTTGCTCAATCTCTGATCAGGTAGCAAAGGTGAAGCAGAGTGTTGTGGATGCTTTAACTGATGTAAGACAGTTTCGGTCAGAGCTCGAGATAAAGGAACATAATCTAGAAGATGCGCTGCTGGAAATCGATGTGTTAGGTATGATATAAGCAACCATGTACTATATTTGTTTATATTTATCTTTTTGGTATAGGTCTTTTTTTTTGAAAAATGTAATGTTGGAACAAGCAGAGGAAAAGATAATGGGAATCAGCAAATTCTTTAACATCAATCAAGTCTAAAGCATGAGGAGATCAGAAAAGTTTGGAGGGAGAAGATCAAAAAATGGACCATGGGCTTTTGATACGATGATGGAGTTTTAGGGTTTCACATGAGTACACATTTCCCTCCATTCTTACGTTTCTACTTTGAGATTTTTGTTTAACCATAGTTATTACATTTTGTTCAAAACAATATTAAGTTAACAACTAAGGGACAATGATTTTTTTAGCTATTGCTCAAAATTATATCATTCGTCATAGTTACTCATAGTTAATTATGTATATATATTAATCGGACTTTTCTAGTAGGGTTTGAGGTTATAATATTTTTCATATAGATGCTAAGGTTGTATGGTAAACCATCCTAGAACTCGAATACTAAAGAAAGATATCCAGCTATCGCTGCGAGTCTAATCAAATGATTTATTCTTTGGTCCAGCCAGCGATATACTAGCAAAGAACAGTATCGATTGATAGTATGATAAGATTGTTGATCGATGCTACCTTAAACAAGCATATCGATATATTCATCAGCGGGTGAAACACCTAGTTTCTAGTAGATATAATAAGTGGTTATATGAAATCTGGACGAATTGTCATTGACGACTTGACGTTATCTTCTTTCGTGGGTCTTTACTCTTTATCATCCTCGGCTGAATTAGGTAAATCGATCAAAACATGTCTACATGGAAATATGTAACCCCAGCCCTATATGAAAAAGTGTTCATGAGAAAAGACTCTTTCTCGACTCTTTTATTAGATCCAATAAAAAGTGTCACCTTACAAGGCACATACCCACATATTTATAATGCAAAAACAAGAAGCAAATGAAACTGAAACAGAAGCAAAAGCAAACACTCTTCACGCCAATAGCCCTCATAGAATGTTGATTAGAGAATGTATGCACCCTTCACCGCTGGCGCCTCCACTTGCCTTAGAAAGCACGTACACACATAATTATAATGATAAAAGGAAGCAGAACAAACAAAAACATTAGGGTCATTTTCCTAATTTTCGCTTCAGTTTCTTTACGCAACTTCCTTTCCATATCATCTAATAATTTCTCCATTTCCTTCCGTTGGGCTTCTGTAATCATTTTAACCATTTTCTCCATCTGCGGGCAAAAGAAACAAATCTCCTTAATGTCAACACACACACACACATATATATATATATATTTAAACCACCTCTTCTTTTGCCTTGCGGTTCACTTCATTCATTAGCTTTATTAACTCATCCTTCAATCCCTTAAGAATTTTCTCTATCTCACTTATCGCAGACTTCATTTCCATCTTATCCTTCTCGTGAGCACTCGTAACCCTTATAATTTGGTTCTCCATCTAGGGACAAAGAATCAAATATCNGGTTCACTTCATTCATTAGCTTTATTAACTCATCCTTCAATCCCTTAAGAATTTTCTCTATCTCACTTATCGCAGACTTCATTTCCATCTTATCCTTCTCGTGAGCACTCGTAACCCTTATAATTTGGTTCTCCATCTAGGGACAAAGAATCAAATATCGTTAAATATCCACATCATCAACACCACTAAGGGAAGCATGAACAAGCCGAAACATTAGGGTTTTGGAAGCAAGATGAAATACCATTGTTGTCATAACCAATAGGTTATTCGTCGCCTCATCCTTTGCCTCCTGCACAAGAATCCTCTCCTCCTCCCGAAGATTCTTGACCGCGCTATCCATCTCCTCTCGGTCAAAAACCTTGGCTGCGTCCTGTATCCTTTTTAAATCAACACGGGAAAGCTTAGTCAGCTTACGACAAAGTAAAACAAAAGGGAAATTGTGAGAAAAGGACGAACTTGATTTTTTTGATGCGGAAAGTATTTAAGCTTTTAGGAGATGCTAGGCAGATGTAGTTAATCTACGAAGCTAATCTCATGTTTATATAGAACTATTGAAAGTATTTTTTTTTCACTGAAATCAGATTAGTTATATATAAAATGTTAGACAAGTCTTTCTTTAAGCAAGTCTCTCATTTTAACTGAAGGTGTACAAGACGTGTAATGCCACAAAGTCTTTATTTAACCAACAAAAAAATTAGTGTACGTTAAGATCCATTATAGTTTTAAAAATATATATTTACAGATAATATATAATGAGGTTAATATTTTAAATATTGAACGGGGCCAATTGAATATCTTTATTATTGCGAGTCTTTCTTTAAGTAAGTCTCACGTCTTTTATATACTAGATATGGACCAGTGCGTTGCACGGATTTTGTTTGGTATTTTAATTTATATAAACACACAAAAATAATAAATCATTTGCTATAGTTTTAAGATTCTTTTTCCATATGTTATATGAGTCTGAGAATTAAAAACGTGTTTTCCCATATAAATTTCGGTTAATATTTGTACTTAGTGTTAGAAAAAATAATCATATTTAAACTTTAATCTGAATTCAATCTGAAGTAAGAATTCGAGTGAAATAAAAAAAACTTTGAAAGTTAAATACAGTTAATCAAGTCAATGACAATATCATACACTTTCGTAAGTACTAATTTATTTTTGTATTAACTTATTATTTGTTATTCTTTTGGTTATATATATTATAATGATTCTTGGTCGTTTAATGAAGTTTGTATTGTCATTATAGGATGCTTGAAACATTTCTGTTTATTTATTATATACTTTACTTGTGATTTAGGTTACTATTTTTTTAATGATTTCGTGGGCTTCTTTAAGTTTACATTTGCAAGAGATTCATCTGATAATTATTTTTGTCTTTTAGAAATTTTTTAGGTGAGAAAAGATTATATGTGGTAAGATATATTTTGTTTGTCTACAGTAGTTATTTCCATATTAAATAGTTATAACAATGATATGTTGTGAGGGATTCAAAATAATCTTTATGGTGTTTCTTTTAAAAACATTTGATCTCATATTCAATGTCAAAATGGTTTACTTTTTTCTTAATATTACTTCTTGTACAAATTAAATAAATTTTTTTATTCAATTTCATACATTGACTTTTAGCGTCATTGATCTGAACTGAACGGTTTTGATATATTTAAAATCATCTATGTTACAACTTAAATGAAAATCAAATAAAATACACTTATTAAATATTTAAATCGTATGTTTAAAGAGAATCATAAACCTCGATCTTTCATGGAACTTCTATGTAAATAAGGCTTAGTAAATTATAAATTTCTCTAGAAAAAAATTCTCTTTTAATTTTTCTATACTATTTTATAATATTTTTCTCTTTTAATTTTTTCATTCCAAAAATAGAGATAAGTTTTTTTCCAATTATTATCTCAAGTATTTAAGTCTAAAAAGAATTATGCTTACTATATTTTTCTCCACTTATTTATTAATTTATTGTTTAAGCCATATTTTAAAATGTTGAAATTGTACTCTCATATTTTATCACTTTGATGTTGTAAATAAAACATTGAATTATCTAAAGAATTGTAAGAAAATAAATGTTAGGCAATGTATAACGAAGTAATGCTTCTTTAGACCTAATGAGAACTCGCAAATGATGATGAACCCTAACGGAGGCTACATGTTTATAAGTCCAAGGCGATCCTGCTATTGTGTGGTAGGCCAAAATACGTTATTTAAAGTCCATAATAAAATATTCATGTACGCCCAACAGACAAAAAAAAAATTCTTTGTAAAGAGACACGTATCAAGGTTACATTCCTTAAGAAGAGAAAAAACTATTTATATATATATAGATATTTGTATAACTAATTTATTAATTATTAATCTTAATAAATTAGTATGTGTTTTGTTTATGATACAAAATGATAATGATTGTTCATGTTAATTTCAGTTTAATTACAGATATCTAAATTAAAAAATTATGTGTAACTGTTCATGTTTTTTCAGTTTATTCATATATTTTAAAATTATAAATTATGTATAAATTTAATATTTATTTAAATTCAGTTTACATATTTTTTTCGTTGGTATTGAGTTATATTAAGATGAACCCAAAATTCGATGTGAAGTTGAAGAAGATGATAAGCGTTAGGCCTCTTCCGTACTCGAATCTAATAGGGAACAGAAAGTCAAAGACGAAACCCATAAATTTTAAACACAACTGTAAATGAAATGCCGAATATTGTGAAAGGGGACACATGTCGCGCTGAAGTTAAGCGAATTGATGATGTTGCGCGTCTTTGAGTGAAAAAACAGAACTTTATATATATAGATAGATAGATTATTATCTATGTATTTTGGTTTGCATAATCAATGAGTTTTAACTGTTCAACTAAAAGAAATTATTTTGGGTTCTTACCTTTATCATATAATTAGTGATAATTAAATTATTAATACATGTATCTTATAGCCACAAAGTCTATGTGCATGTTGAAGACAATATTTATGAATCTACATGGAAATAAGGGGTTGATTGGTAGAGCATTAGCATAAGCATTATGCTCTCTATTATCCAATCAACATTTGGCAAATAAGCATTTAGAAAAGCATTTACCAAATGCAAATGCTCTCTAAATGCTCTTTGCTCAATGCTCTCATATAGAGCTTTTGGAAGAGCATTTGGATATAGAAAATATAAAATATAATAATATTTATATATAATTAATTTATTTTTGTTTAAAAATATAAACAATATTTTTATAATTAAATATAAATTTATATTTTAAAAAATAAAAATTATAATTAATTATTTTTAAAAGAACAATATTTCACATTTAAAATATAATATAATTTATATAATTACATATATCATTCATTATTTTTAATAACAAACATAACATAATATAATTATATATTATCGATATAAACATATTATTTAGACACTAATAAATAAATTATATATTAACTTTTTTGATAATTTTATATATGAGTACTTTAGTGCTCTGCCAATAAATAAATAATAATAATTTATATATAAATTATAATTAATTAATTAATTTATTTAATAATAATTATAATTTAATAATAATTAATTAAATTATAACTATAATTTTATATATGAGGAATATGTTATATCCAAAAAAAAATATTGTTTTAAAAAATTAATTTTTAAATATAATTTACATAATGAAAATTAATTATTTTTAATAAAATTATATATTCTTAATATTTATTATATATATATACTATTTTAAAAGAAATATATTATTTTACTAACTATTATGACAATTTTAAAATTGTATACTGCTAATGCTCTACCAATCACTTTATTGAAAAATTTAATGAAAGCATACAGCTTCTGTAGCATACTGCTTCTGCAGCATACTGCTACTGCTTTATCATCTGATGTACCAATCGAGGCCTAAGTAACCCTAACCATATATGAAAAAGTGTTCATGAGAAAGAACTCTTTCTCGACTCTTTTATTAAATCAAATAAAAAGTGTCACCTTACAAAGCACATACCCACAAATTTATAATGCAAAAACAAGAAGCAAATGAAACATATATTAGGCTACGAATCACCTAATCATGGGAAATATCTAAAAATGAAACTGAAACAGAAGCAAAAGCAAACACTCTTTTACACCAAAAAAAAACAAACACTCTTCACGCCAATAGCCCTCATAGAATGTTGATTAGAGAATGTATGCACCCTTCGCCATTGGCGCCTCCACTTGCCTTAGAAAACACGTACACACATAATTATAATGATAAAAGGAAGCAGAACAAACAAAAACATTAGGGTCATTTTCCTAATTTTCGCTTCAGTTTCTTTACGCAACTTCCTTTCCATATCATCTAATAATTTCTCCATTTCCTTCCGTTGAGCTTCTGTAATCATTTTAACCATTTTCTCCATCTGCGGGCAAAAGAAACAAGTCTCCTTAATGTCAACACACACACACACATATATATATATATTTAAACCACCTCTTCTTTTGCCTTGCGGTTCACTTCATTCATTAGCTTTATTAACTCATCCTTCAATCCCTTAAGAATTTTCTCTATCTCACTTATCGCAGACTTCATTTCCATCTTATCCTTCTCGTGAGCACTCGTAACCCTTATAATTTGGTTCTCCATCTAGGGACAAAGAATCAAATATCNGGTTCACTTCATTCATTAGCTTTATTAACTCATCCTTCAATCCCTTAAGAATTTTCTCTATCTCACTTATCGCAGACTTCATTTCCATCTTATCCTTCTCGTGAGCACTCGTAACCCTTATAATTTGGTTCTCCATCTAGGGACAAAGAATCAAATATCGTTAAATATCCACATCATCAACACCACTAAGGGAAGCATGCACAAGCCGAAACATTAGGTTTTAGAAGCAAGATGAAATACCATTGTTGTCGTAACCAATAGGTTATTCGTCGCCTCATCCTTTGCCTCCTGCACAAGAATCCTCTCCTCCTCCCGAAGATTCTTGACCGCGCTATCCATCTCCTCTCGGTCAAAAACCTTGGCTGCGTCCTGCATCCTTTTTAAATCAACACGGGAAAGCTTAGTCAGCTTATGACAAAGTAAAACAAAAGGGAAATTGTGAGAAAAGGACGAACTTGATTTTTTGATGTGGAAAGTATTTAAGCTTTTAGGAGATGGTAAGCAGATGTGGTTAATCTACGAAGCTAAGCTCATGTTTATATAGAACTATTGAACGTATTTTTTTTTTAATGAAATCAGATTAATTGTATATAAAATTTTTGACGAGTCTTTCTTTAAGTAAGTCTCTCATTTTAGTTGAAGGTGTACAAGACGTGTAATGCCACAAAGTCTTTATTTAACGAACAAAAAAAATAGTGTATGTTAAGATCCATTATAGTTTTAAAAATATATATTTACAGATAATATATAATGAGGTTAATATTTTAAATATTGAACGGGCCAATTGAATATCTTTAGTATTGCGAGTCTTTCTTTAAGTAAGTCTCACATCTATCACATACTCCCTCCGTTTCGAATTAGTTGTCATTCTAGAAGAACAATTTTATTTCAAAATAAATGTCGTTTTAGGGTTTCGAGACAATTTTTTTTAGGTTTATATAATATTTTATTTTCCTATTGGTTGAATGGTGGTTAGGTGTATTGGTAATTGTGTTTTTTTATTAAAAATATGTAAAATTTAATATTTTCTTAATCAGTGTGCAAAAACTTAGAATGACAACTAAATTGAAACGGAGGGAATACTAAATATAGACAAAATATGGATCCGTGTGTTTCACGAGTTTTGTTTGGTATTTTAATTTATATAAAACACAAAAATAATAAATCATTTGTTATAGTTTTAAGATTTTTTTCCATATGTTATATGAGTCTGAGAATTAAAAACGTGGTTTCCCATATAAATTTCGGTTAATATTTGTACTTAGTGTTAGAAAAAATAATAATATTTAAAAATTTAATCTGAATTCAATCCGAAGTAAGAATTCGAGTGAAATAAAAAAAACTTTGAAAGTTAAATACAGTTAATCAAGTTAATGACAGCATCATACACTTTCGTAAGTACTAATTAATTTGTGTATTAACTTATTATTTGTTATTCTTTTGGTTATATATATTCTAGTGTTTCTTGGTCGTTTAATGAAGTTTGTATTGTCATTATAGGATGCTTGAAACATTTCTGTTTATTTATTATTAGGTCTAGAGGGCGGGATATACTTTACTTGTGATTTAGGTTACTATTTTTTTTAATGATTTCGTGGGTTTCTTTAAGTTTACATTTGCAAGAGATTCATATGATAATTATTTTTGTCTTTTAGAAAGTTTTAGGTGAGAAAATATTATATGTGGTAAGATATATTTTGCTTGTCTACAGTAGTTATTTCCATATTAAATAGTTATGACAATGATATGTTGTGAGGGATTCAAAATAATATTTATGGTGTTTCTTTTAAAAAAATTTGATCTCATATTCAATGTCAAAATGATTTACTTTTTTCTTAATATTACTTCTTGTACAAATTAAATAAAGTTTTTTTTTATTTAATCTCATACACTGACTTTTAGAGTCATTGATCTGAAATGAACGGTTTTGATATATTTAAAATCATCTTTGTTACAACTTAAATAAAAATCAAATAAAATACACTTATTAAATATTTAAATCGTATGTTTAAAGAGAATCATGAACATCGATCTTTCATGGAACTTCTATGTAAATAAGGCTTAGTAAATTATAAATTGCTCTAGAAAAAATATTATTTTTTTAAATTTTCTATACTATTTTATAATATTTTTTTTTAATTTTTCATTCCAAAAATAGAGTACTATAAAAATAGAGAGAAGTTTTTTTCCAATGATTATCTCAATTATTTTAGTCTAAAAAGAATTATGCTTACTATATTTTTCTCCACTTATTTATTAATTTATTGTTTAACCCATATTTTAAAATGTTGAATTTGTACTCTCATATTTTATCACTTTGATGTTGTAAATAAAACATTGAATTATCTACAAAATTTTAAGAAAATAAATGTTAGGCAATGTATAATGAAGTAATGCTTCTTTAGACCTAATGAGAACTCGCAAATGATGATGAACCCTAACAGAGGCTACATGTTTATAAGTCCAAGGCGATTCTGCTATTGTGTGGTAGGCCAAAATACGCTATTCAAAGTCCATAATAAAATATTCATGTAAGCCCAACAAAAAAAAAAAAGAGAAAATTCTTTGTAAAGAGACACGTATCAAGGTTACATTCCTAAAGAAGAGAAGAAAAAACTATTTTTATATATATAGATATTTGGATAACTAATTTATTAATTATTAATCTTAATAAATTAGTATGTGTTTTGTTTATGATACAAAATGATAATGATTGTTCATGTTAATTTCAGTTTAAATACATGTATCTAAATTAAAAAATTATGTGTAACTGTTCATGGTTTTTTCAGTTTATCATATATTTTAAAATTAGAAATTATGTATAAATTTATTATTTATTTAAATTCAATTTACATATTATTTTTTTGTTGGTATTGAGTTGTATTATGATGAACCCTAAATTCGATGTGATGTGAAGTTGAAGAAGATGATAAGCGTTAGGCCTCTTCCGAACTCGAATTTAATAGGGAACAGAAAACCAAAGACGAAACCCATAAATATTAAACACAACCGTAAATGAAATGCAGAATTGTGAGAGGGGACACATGTCGCGCTGAAGTTAAGCGAATTGATAATGTGGCGCGTCTTTGAGTGAAAAAACTGAACTTTATATATATAGATTATCTACGTATTTTGGTTTGCATAATCAATGAATTTTAACTGTTCAAGTAAAAGAAATTATTTTGGGTTCTTACTTTTATCATGTAATTAGTAATAATTAAATTATTAATACATGCATCTTATAGCCACAAAGTCTATGTGAATGTTAAAGACCATATTTATGAATCTACATGGAAAGAAGTAACCCTAACCCTATATGAAAATGTGTTCATGAGAAAGAACTCTTTCTCGACTCTTTTATTAAATCAAATATAAAGTGTCTCCTTACAAAGCACATACCCACAAATTTATAATGCCAAAACAAGAAGCAAATGAAACATAGATTAGGCTACGAATCACCTAATCATGGGAAATATCAAAAAAGGAAACTGAAACAGAAGCAAAAGCAAACACTCTTCACGCCAATAGCCCTCAGAGAATGTTGATTAGAGCATGTATGCACCCTTCGCCATTGGCGCCTCCACTTGCCTTAGAAAGCACGTACACACATAATTATAATGATAAAAGGAAGCAGAACAAACAAAAACATTAGGGTCATTTTCCTAATTTTCGCATCAATTTCTTTACGCAACTTCCTTTCCATATCATCTAACAATTTCTCCATTTCCTTCCGTTGAGCTTCTGTAATCATTTTAACCATTTTCTCCATCTGCGGACAAAAGAAACAAAACTCCTTAATGTCAACACACACACACATATATATATATATAGATATATATAATATATATATATATATATATATATATTTAAACCACCTCTTCATTCATTAGCTTTATTAACTCATCCTTCATTCCCTTAAGAATTTTCTCTATCTGATCACTTATCGCGGACTTCAATTCCATCTTATCCTTCTCCTGAGCACTCGTAATCCTTATAAGATTTTCCTCCATCTATGACAAAGAATCAAATCTCGTTAAAAATCAACATCATCAACACCACTGAGGGAACTAAGCATGCACAAACATTGGGTTTTGGAAGCAATATGAACCATTTTTGTCATAACCAAGAGGTTACTCGCCGCCTCATGCCTTGCCTCATTCACAAGAATCTCCTCCTCCTCCCGAAGGTATGCGTCCTGCATTCTTTTTAAATCTACACGAGAAAGCTTAGTCAGCTTGTGAACGGAAAAAGTAAATCCATGAAAATTGATAGATGTGATATGACAAAGTAAAACAAAAGGGAAATTGTGAGAAAAGGACGAACTTGATTTTCTTGATGTGGAAAGTATTTAAGCTTTTAGGAGATGCTAGGCAGATGTGGTTAATCTACGAAGCTAATCCCATGTTTATATAGAACTATTGAAAGTATTTTTTTCACTGAAATCAGATTAATTATATATAAAAATTTTGACGAGTCTTTCTTTAAGTAAGTCTCTCATTTTAGTTGAAGGTGTAAAAGACGTGTAATGCCACAAAGTCTTTATTTAACCAACAAAAAAATTTAGTGTATGTTAAGATCCATTATATTAAAAAAAAAAGAGACTAATATTTACAAATAATATATAATGAGGTTAATAATTTAAAGAGAGTATGACTCGAATAGACCTAAAAAATTTCTATCATAAATATAGACCTTAACAATTAAAATGATCAAAATATCACTTAATGTTTTATTAAATATACATTTATATCCTTTGGGTTAACTAATCCTATATTTTTTGGTTTAGAGTTGAGAAGTGTGATTTTGGGGATAGGGTTTCAAATTTAAAAAAAATTAAGAAAACTTAAAATTTTCAAAATAAAAAGTGTTATTTTGGTCATTTTAATTTTTGAGGTCTATTTTTGTGATAAAAACTTAAAAGAGAGTTATTTGAGAGAATTGACCTAATTTAAATATTGAACGGGACCAATTGAATATCTTTAGTATTGCGAGTCTTTTTTTTGGGGTAAATTGTTAATTATTGCGAGTCTTTCTTTAAGTAAGTCTGACATTTATTATATATTTGTTTTCACTAATAAACGAATCTTTCAAACGTCAACTATATTTATAACAATAATATTTTGCTCTCTTGTCCGAACCTTCAAATATCCTCATACTTTAATTTCATGTTAATACGTAAAGAAAAATTGTTCTCAGGTAAACGATTTCAAAACTCTAATTTGCACTCCATACACACACTAAACCTCATAATTCACTTCATACCCTATTTCTTCATTTATCTCTCCTCCCCACACATTACTATTTTCCCCACCAAAAATGTCAAATTCCTAATTTTCCATTTTCTTATGGATTTCTACCCAATTCACTCTTATTTCTTTCTTTAAATTCCCACTCCACCAAGATAAAGACGAAGTAAAAAGAAATGCGTGAAACAAAAACTGTTGGTTATTTGGGTTGTAACTCAGAAATTTGTGAATTATATACTTGGATAATGATTGAATCGCGCACGAAGTCACTTTCC